TTGATCGATGACTTTGAGAAATTAACTACGGCCCTCTGCTACAGCTGCTAAGTGCAACACTTAACGCACACACACTTCTACGAAACACTCAAGGTCCAACGTGTGTGAATACTTGACGCCTCCAGGAACTGCAGCTGTTGATGATGTCTTCTGAGATCCCTTTCGACTTTGTACGCGTGAGAATAATTGGCACGATATGTATAAACTTGTACACATAGTACACAAATTTGTGCTCATGGGTATTGATGGGAATAATTATTGAATGCATACAGTAGCGGCGGAACACTTTCAGGGGGGGGGGGGGGGCACTGACGACTTTTGGTCCCATTCTTTCCATGCAACGCCCATAGGGCTAATGTTAAAATGTCAAAATCCAAGGGGGCACGGTGCCCCGGTGCCCTCCCCGTTCTGCCGCCTATGAATACATACACACTGCTGTTCAACAACTGAAGATCGGTTACGTGCGTCACTATCGTTTTATTTAATTTATGAAAAGAATGCCAATGCCGTCAGCATAGTGAGGATGAGAAATGGTTGTTAAATATCTGGAGCCTGTTCCATTCTTGTTCAGTCACCTGGAGGACCACCAACGTAAACAGAGAGCAGGAACTTCGCACTCCAGGCGCACGTGATGCCTTACATATGCATTTGCTAATTTGGCCAGTGGTTCTCCGAAAAGCAGCTGAGAACATTCTCTATGGACACACGAGACCGTGGTTTTTCCTGTGATCCCACGGGGTTTCTCTGGTAATTCATCAGACCAGCAGCTGTATTCTATGAGCGCACGGGGTCATTGGTTTCTCCGTGGCCTCTCAGCCGCTGTTTTCTATAACGAACGGGATAATGGGATACATCGCGGTCCCACAGCCGCTGTTTGCTATGGACGAACGGGACCCCTATATAACGGGACAGTGTTTCTCAGGTGGTCTGTTCTGTCAGGGTTTCTCCCGTGATCCCTAAGAGCAGCAGCGGCTGTACTCTATGGACGCACGGGCCAGCGGCTGTTCAGGCGGACTCGATCAATGCGTATGCGGCTGCCGGACGGGCCGTAAATTCGCCGCCTGTCCGCCGACTCAGCTCCACGGTCGCCCGCTCGGCTCGCCGATTTAGCTCCACCTCACTGGGACAAGGTCAGCCGAGATTTCGGCCGACTGGACAGCCCGAGCGCCGCACTCCGTTTTTACGTCTGACCGAGCCAGACGGAATGGCCAGAGTGGGTGGCTGCACCGCCCTAATTGCACAGACACCCGTCAGACGTCATTTCATTGTACTGTTCTGGTGTTTGTTATTGCTCTCAGTTTTACTTTCGTGCGTTGCTGTTTGAGCCATAGCTAGAGCAGGTCAGTACGGTTTGCTTTGTGACTCGTAAAACGTAAAACGGCAGCTAGCTGACTTAAAAGCAAACTCATTATGTCGCACGCCCACGCCAGCCTAAAAACGTAGCGTATTGATTTGTCGATTCTATTGTTACCTTTAGTGCGCTAGTCCGTCAGAAATCGACAATAACCATTCGGCTAGACGCAGCCATTCCCAGATGGTACACGTTCCTAAAACATTAGAAGTGTGCGCACCTCAAATCCATTTTGACTTTTTAAACTACTTACGTTCATTTTTCATTATAATAAAAAAAAATGTAGCTCTGTTAGAAAAATCAGGAAGTGTATCACATGACACACCAAGCATGCTGTTTCTTTACACTCTTATTTAAAATTCTCCAATGCGCAATGCATATGTTGTTCCTAATATTCAGGGCTGTTATTATTTTCTTGTTTTGAAACCATGTTAGTGCGGGCTTCCTTGCTGAAGTTGTCTCCTTCTCCGTTATCTGTAGTCATTTAGGGTGGTATCTTTGTTGCACTCGCCATGGAAGTGCATCAAAATGGCATGTCAACGACACCATTTGCTCAGATGTCATTCCACAAGGCTTGGTGAATGAGCAAACTTTTGTTGTTTAATAACTTTTAATAACTTTTGTTTATGTGATACGATATCACGCATTTATATTGTGAATGCGTCATAAACAAAATCAAATCATGTTAAAATCACTTAGTATCCGACTTATCTTACTTAACCCGCGCCCCACTGGGGGGGGGGGCTATTTATAGCCCCCCCTCCCGTTTTTCTGCAATAACTTCCAAACCGCTTGACGCATCGACGCCAAACTTTCAGTACCTTCGGCTGCATCAATTTGACACCTTGTGTCAAAATTTGAACTTCGTAGCTATCATAGGTCGGCGGGAAATGACGTCAGAGTGACGTCATGTTCGGCCGATTTCGACGCAAAACATCGAACCACGGCAATCGCTCCCAAGGGCTCAGTTTTTAAGCTAGATCCATTTTCTTTGCATGAGAGGACTCAGAATTGACTGCGCTATCAAACTGCCATCTCGGATTTTCGAAAGTTTGAAAATTTCGAAAATTTCATATAATAAAATTCAAAATTTACATTTTTACATTTTTTTTTCAAAAAGTTTTTGACTTTTCGAAAAAACCGGAATATATGTGATAGAACGCGTTATTATGACTAACTCTAGCAAGTTTCAGCTAAATATCTTCAAAAATGGCCAAGTTATACGCATTATTGCAAAAAAAATTACAATTATTAATTTTTCAAATCAATTTTTCACCACGTATTTGACATCGTACGCCAATATAAATAGCACCATCGTGTTCCTGAGCTCAAACTGCATCCAATAGACACCTTTTCTGTTGAAAAATGATAACTTCAAAATTTGACCTTTTTTGACCTGAAAGTGACCTGACCTAAGCTAAATTTGACTCAAAATGACCTCAAATGACACAGACGACATCAAATTCGAAATCTTTCGCCTAAATGGACCATAAAACATGTGTCACGTGACCGACGCATGATATACTATTTTCGTGACCTGTGATGACCTGACCTTGACCTGAAAATCAAAGTACAAGTTTGGTACCCTCAGGGTATCTAGAGCATCTGTTCACGAGTGTGTGAACCAAAAATGAGCCTGATCTGACTTGTAGGACGGCGGCCAGAGCCCAAAACGTGAACAAACCAAAATGCTAATAATTTTTACTTTGACCTGACCTGTGACGTCATCGGTGACCTCGAGGTCAATGAAATTAGGTTTCGCTCGACAGTTTTTCCGGGGCTATCAAACGCCGTTTGAATTTTGACGATCGGCCCAGTAGTTTCGGAGTTAGGAGGGGGGCTATGAATAGCCCCCCCCCCCCCCCAGTAGGGCGTGTTATACGCAGACCCCAGTGGGGCGCGGGTTAAATTTACTTGAATAAGCGTCCTATATTTAGATGTTTTTATACTATACACGATTCTTGCACCAGCACGTTGTAAAAGTAAGCTTATTCGATACCATAAGCGTGCCTAATTTTTGACCACTTGAATGACCTGGTATGGCAGGCTGCCACCGGTGTTTAATCAGTTACAGATTTACAGCCTCATCTGATAATGAAGTTTTGAGCTGCGCGAGTCCGGGGAGCAGTTTGTTTGCCAAGTTGGCGGATGGTGTATATCAGCCGGTGACCGGTCAGCGGGGGGGGGGGGGACGCCGGGCCGGCACTATAGCGGTCACCAGAGCTGACGGACGCCGTGAAAAGTTAGTGGTAGGGAGAACTGCGACCATGCTCTCAGCCACTCTATCAGTAAGAGCGTTCCTTGGACTGTTGCTTGAACGGGGTGTGCATATGCTGTGAGTAGGTAGCCCACAAAAGGCTCTTTTCATGGCTCTTATTCATATTTCTGATGATGGTCAGAATGGATAAAGGGCAAAGGCCAGTAAAAATCTCGTGACATTTACATACCGAAATCTGATTGTCCAAAGCTGCATTGTCAAAAGCTGATTAGATACATAGATGTTTTCAAGCTTTTTTGTTTAATCGAATTAGACCTGGTGACAGAACAGGCAACGAAACCGGAATGAGCTTGAAAACGTGATCAAACATTAGGAATTAGTAGGCACTTCTTGTTTACACTCTAAATTCAAGTCAACTGATAACGAAATAAGACAGCGCTCCTCTTCAATACGCTGCAGGAGGCGAGCTATTCGAGGAATGTGCCGGTTCAGTACACATTACAGTCCACGACCTCTTCATCTGGCGTTTGAAGGGCTGTCAAGTCTCATACGCCTCCTCCACGGTGAGGCCATATGAACTGAGCCAAAGCGCATTTGGCAATCCAGCCCGTACAGCACGGTTCAGGCTTATGGATGCTGTGCCGCATTACGGCGCTGTATTGCGGTACACTCTACCTCCGCAGTATGCCGTACTGGCGCCGGCACTGCACATCATGGCGCCATGGTTTATTGGGTTATGGACTATTGAAAATAGGCAGGAGGGCTGCGGTGCACTGACTGAACTATTCCTAAACGGGCACATCCTATTGACTGATGTTGATAAAATGCTAAATAAATGACTAAGCACAAATCAGCTAACATTTTAAAACGGTAATGTTACTTGACGATCAACAGTCAGACTACAACTGAATTACATTTGCTTTGACCGCACTCCAATCAGTTTTGATGTTCTAGCAGTCATATTTGTTGAGTGACATCGATGTGTCCTCAATCACTTATATGGAGGCAATTTCATTGGTGCAATTGTGGCAGCTGAGACGCCCCAGGCCATATTCAGAATTCAATTCACTCACTCATTCGTACTAAAGTGGGCGAACTTAACCGAATGGCATCAGCACTGCGTCGCCAAATCGATGAGTGAGTTTTGCCTCTCCTTTGTTCCTGTTCCGACCGCTGCACTTGATCTCTGCCGGCGACCCAGCAAAATCTTTTCGCTGACACACATGAAAGTGATTCCGTTGACTTTGATGGCGGGCAGAACAAAAAGCCACTTATGATGGAGCGGCGCGCGGGTGTCCCTGCAGCGCCTTTCTGTCGATTTGACGAGGAAAACATGTCTCCGGTCTGAATGCCGGCTCGGATACGGTTGACTCAGCCCCTCGCCGCCGTCGGTGCATTCAGCCAGCTGACTCGAGCACCCTCTGTCCCCAGGCGGAGCCGGCGAGGAAGGACAGCCGCGGCACCCGAGTCCCGCGGCATGGAGGTCAACGGTTCGGCGTCTAACTCGAGCACGCTGGGCGTGGCGGAGACGCCCGGCTACCTGCTGGTCCTGAAGGCCATCTCGCTCTGCACCATCATCGTCATGGCCGTGCTGGGCAATCTGCTGGTGGTGGTGAGCGTCTACCGCTACCGCAAGCTGCGCAACATCACCAACTGCTTCGTGGTGAGTCTAGCGATCGCCGACGTGCTGGTATCGCTGATCGCCATGCCGTTCAACGCCAGCGTGGAGCTGTCGGGCCGCTGGATGTTCGGCCACGCCATGTGTGATGTCTGGAACTCGGTCGACGTGTACGCTTCCACCGTCAGCATTATCCACCTCTGCTGCATCAGCATCGACCGCTACTACGCCATCGTCAAGCCGCTCAACTACCCGTTGGTCATCACCGAGAGGCTGGTGGTGATGATGCTGACGTTCGTGTGGGTGTTCCCCGTCTCCATCTCCTTCGTACCCATCTTCCTGGGCTGGTACACGACTGCCGAGCACCAGCTGTTCAGAGCCGAAAACCCGCACGTCTGCAAGTTCGTCGTCAACCGTCCGTACGCAGTCATATCGTCCAGCATCTCGTTCTGGATACCGTCGACCATCATGTGCGTCATGTACTACTTTGTCTACCAGGAGGCGGTCCGGCAGGCCAAGTTCCTCTACAAGAACGCGTCGGCAGCGAGTCGCTCGCAGATAGCCATGAACGGCACCATCTCGCCGAGTCGCAAGGGCCCACTGGAGGGCGAGGACCGCGCCGGTGAGACGGCGCAGAAGATCCGACACGAGCACAAGGCGGCGCGCACACTGGGCATCATCATGGGCGTGTTCGTCCTGTGCTGGCTGCCGTTCTTCACCTGGTACATCACGGTCTCGCTGTGCCGCGAGGCGTGCCCCTGTCCAGACGTGGTGGTCGTGGTGCTCTTCTGGATCGGCTATCTCAACTCGTGTCTGAACCCGCTCATCTACGCCTACTTCAACCGCGACTTCCGGGACGCGTTCAAACAGACTCTCCAGTGCGTCTTCGAGCCCTGCTGCGCCAAGGCGGCTGCCGAACGCAGCAGCGTCTGAACGAGGACGTCTGAAGAGGTCTGAGGACGTCAGGAAAACTCGTGAAGACGCCGGCATCCCGCCGCACTGCACCACGCTGCGGTGTATGAAACTGCCGACTGAAACAGACTGCTGTCATTTGACCAGTCTGGACGGGAAGTCGCAGCTCAGATACAGGGCACATCCAACAGGTCGACCCTGGAGCAGAAGTCCAAACTCATGGTTCTGACGAACTTACCACCACACCGGCAACATTCGATGGTGGCAACGCGATCATCGGGCGTGTCGCTAACAGTGATATTGGTTGAGCGGCAATGACTCAATCGGTGACAAACACTGGCGACAGCAAAGATCAAAGCAACTATGAAAATGTAACCAGTATTGGCACACGCGGCAGGAGTGGAAGTGAGAACGATGTGGTGACGGTATCCGTGCCAGTTACGCGCCAACAGTGACATAACCCGGTGGAAAAAAATAGATCCCTGCTAAGCTGGCCAGGTCAAGGCCACGCCAGTTGTCTATCAGCTGTCAGCTGCCTATCAGCTATCAACTGTCACCCGATGTCAGCTGCGGCCATCGTACTCAAAACTGCTGCTAGGCTGGCATCAGTGACCGTCCCTTCGAGCTCGTGCGCGTCTCCGAGCCCGCAGGGCGCGACTTTCTCCATACGCTGACCGGGAATGTGATAGAAACGCTCAAAGTGACCGCGACCACAGCGCGCTGGTCACCTGTCCCGTACCCCAACTGTGGCGGACCGGTCCGCTGCGTTCATGTGTCCCGTACTGTGTGTACCCTGGCTTCCAGCTTGGCTGGTGTGCTGTGTGTGTGGCGAGAGAGGAGCGAACTGCGTCAAACGACGGGTCTAGATGTGAGATGTGTGGATAGGTAGAATGGGAAAGACGGCCATATTCGTGTGGCTTTATGGTGTGTTAGGTAGGGTAAGAGAGGTAGAAGGGTAAAGGTATTGAGGATCAAAAGGCGTTGATGTTTTGAAACTTGTAAGAGGGTGGTAGATATGTGTACCTTTATAGGTCATTCTGTGTCGATGGTTAACAATTTTATACTTAAGTTATTATATCTTAAAACATGCATGTTTTATCATTGAAAATGTCAAACAATTGAATATTGAAACTTTTAGAGAGGAAAAAACTGATTTTAACACAAACGAAATCACGGAAGCATTTGAATTTACTTTCGTAGGTGCATGTAAACTTGCTTTTTTATTATTCAATTCAGCTTCTACTGTCAACGTTATCAGCTTCATATAAATCGTATTGAAGGAGTAAAGGAGACCATGGCTGGTATTCTATAGTTAACCTAAAAAGATGTATTTACTGTGACAGAGATTGCAGCTGTATTTACATGAAATGTGCCGCAACGTTGTGAAACCGAAGTCCATAAATATATAATAGCAATGCGACTCTTTTGCTGCCGAGGGTGTCAGTGTCCAAAAGCAAAAAAAAAAAACGGAAAATAATAGAAGAGACGGACAAGAGAGAGGGTGATGGGAGATGAAGGAGTAGTGTAGGAGAGATAATTGAGGGAATGCAAATATGTAAATTAAGTGGGAAGGGAAATGGAGACGGAGAAGGAGAAGATGACTGGATCTGCTGTTTCTTTGCTTGGATATGGGGCCGCCATCACTGGATCTGCGGCTGCTAGCGCTGGATCCTTGGACCACTGGATACCGCCACTGGATCTGCGGCCGGTCTGCGGTCTCAGCAGGCCGTCTATCCCGGCACTGGTACATGTGCTGTCTGTCCCATCTGAGCGGCACCATGGCTAATGTCCGTCGTAGTGAGCGCCAACGCGGCCGATTTGGACGGCTATACAATGCCGGAGGGGCCGGTTTTGGTCGGCCGGTGCTCTAATTCCCAATTACGGGGTGGTATCTGGGGTCAGCCTGTCTGCCTGAGAGCCGTAGGTCCCTAACGGACCTGGGTAGCCCCCCCCCCCCCTCCCCCGCTCCAGACAGCTGGAATTATATGCAACTGCACACTGCGCGGCTCCGACACCGAAATAGAAGCCAATCTGAGCGTGCCAGACCGAATCGAATCGAGAAAATGCGCACAGAAATTGGATTACTCTGCCACGTATCACAGGATCAAAAGAAGTGAATTAAGCAGGTCACTAGATATCATGTGACAATGTGACGGTAAATAGATACTTAGGATGACAATTGAATAAACGAATATCCAGCCACTGTTGATCCCTAAAGCACGCAGCCGCTTACAAGTCAAGCAAACATGAGAATAATTAATGCTGATTACGCTGCCTTTAGCTGAAGTAGCTAGGCATTAAGAAAGGTCGCGAGTCTATTTTCAGCCATTGAGACCAGCTTGGTATGAAAATAAAGTAGACCAGGGGTGCAGCGTAAAACCAGCTGCAGACATTACATGAATAGCCGAGGAGTACAAACTTAAGCTTCAGTTGTAAGCTCGGCCTTTACATTTTTGCCTCTGTCAGCCGAATGCTTGGAAGTTCCCGGAAACGTATAATTACAGCTCACGAATGACAGCAGACAGCGCAGATCACTCACGAGCCCTTCTTATCCAGTAGCTCAGTGTATTTGACAGAGAGCGCCGCAGAATAGTGGCGACCAATCTCAGAGCAGGGATCGTTGACCCGAGCTGGGTCACCAGTCCGGTCTGTGACGATTCATGCAGTGGTTGAGTGGGTAACAGTTGTAATATTAGATTGACCTATATTGAGGGCTTGTTATAAAGATGCATCAGTGGGGTTAAGTAAATGTCACTGGCCACATTTAGCTTTACTCCCATGTCCAAATTCTCGTCTAGTTCCAACGCTATTCGATCACACTTTCTCAATAGTATTGCAGTGATGGGAAAACGACGACGGTTCTGGCTCGCCCCGAGTCGTTCCACCACCGAGCAGCCGGCCGTTGGGTTCCGGAATTGGCCACGCTCATCAGTCATCTGTGTCCATCTGATGGGCGTCGATGCCGTCGGGCGGACTCGAATGCGGCCGAGTTCTATGGCCGGGAAAATGATGCCGCTCCGTTCGCCGATGGAATTCTGTGGCTGGCCACCCCGGACGTCCTCTCCAGACGTCGGCAAAGGAGGCCGGCCGCCCGAGCCGGAACGCAGCCCGGCCCCAGCGGCCGAGCGGTGAACGCAGGAGGTGTGGGTAAGTGAATACGCCACGCATTAGCTTCACTTAAAATGTGGTATAGTTACATTTGACCATTGATAGTTACCATTGATTTATACATAGCCGAGGTCTATGCTATAACTCATAGATCTATAACTCATAGATTTAAAACGTATTTTTTACCATGCTTATAATAGCTGTTTTCACGACGGGCTATCTGGCGAATGAAACTAATTTGACCAAATATGCACCAAATCTGCACCTAATCTACATCAAATGTGTACCAGATGGCCGTCGTGAAAACGGCTAATACATATAGGCGTAAATCCTGTGGTATCCAATAACTTCTTTTTGTGGTTCCTAACAACTTTTAAGCTAAGAAGCCCATTTTCAATTAAATGCAGGCCTGGTTTGGCCCGCATCAATGCCGAAGCGGTTTCGAAAGCGATTGTGGCCTAGATCTAATGAATGCATTCTAATCAAAAGGATCTAAGGAACTATTCCAGTCCATTTCACACTTTACGAGCATTGTAATTAAGTGCCTCTCTAAATGGCAGCTGCGGTAACTATCGCACGAGGAGCGTCTTCCCACATTATGTGTGGCGAGGCTTTGAATAGGAATGTCCCTTCTGTCACCAAGGGCTGTCACGTGCAGAATTCTAAGGTTTTAATTTGAAAACTAAAAGATATTTTGTTTCAGAAAAGAAGGAATAACTCAATGACAATGTCTCGCATTGACTTCAATGTACATAAAAGTTTGGTATATTTGCTTTAGTTTGCATATCAAATGATAAAATTCGCCTTCCTTGAGATATTGCTGGTGCCAGCTTTCCATGCTAGGTGATTCCACTTCACTGACTGCTTCGTCAGAAAAAGATAGCTTCTTTTATTTACGAATAAAGGATGCCCTTTTACAATTCTGTCAAATGCCGAAAAAAACTTTCCATAAAAATTAGAGTAGGTACGGGAAAATCGGAAACCAATTCAATATGATTAGTTCGCCTGAATGCCTACCGTTGTGACTTGAGTCCCAGCTTCTCGTGACCTTTTTATTTGAATCAAAGGAATTCAAAAATGTGCGTATATAATGAATCATTTTCAGCATGCTGGAAATCACTAACAGGACGATACCGTTTTAAAATAAATCTTGACTGCCTAAGTTTTTAGAGTAAAAATATTAAATATTACGCACCCAATTTCTCCCAACAAAATATTTTTATCTGTGTGCGGTGATATTTGTTCAATAACTCAGGTCTACAGCATCACATTGACCTGAGCTGACCTCTAGTGTCACTAGGTAAACTAAGCCTTCTGTTCGTTTTTGAATATTGCATTACCGGCTAGGGTGCAGAATGGTGGTATCATTTCCCTCGGTCCATGGGCAAAAGTGGGACCCTAAAATGGTAAAAAAAAAAAACGACGACCGATGGAATATTACGTAATTGCATTCACTGAGCAGTTTCATTGATTTTTCCCGCGGATGCGAAGGAAAGCTTCTAGTTATGGTGTGGGACCGATCGATTTTTCTCATCTCGTTTCAGCAGTGTGGTGATGCCGCGCGGCGGGCTGTAGGCGGACTCTCCCCCTTTCTTCGACGAGGTGCTTTCTCAACCGAGGCACGCTCGGGCCGATAGCCTACAGCGTTATTCATACAAAGCGAGCTCATATATCAGATTGTCAGCGTCGTCAACTGGGCCAGCCAGGCGAAAATCAATCGGCTGGGCGCCTCCCCTCTATGGAGCCACTAATCAGCGACCCAGGCGGCGGCGGGTGAGGTCAGTCGGCTGTCGGTGACCCCGATGACCCCCTTGACCCAGCGCGGGTCATATGACGAGCTACTCGGTCCCTATCTCCCGGTGTCCAATGCGCGGGACGGCGTTTGAACTGCCTCTCTGTCGCGTTCAGTGACCCACTTTAGTGCAGCTGTCGCGGCGGTTCAACACACAGCCGTCATCCCGTCCCATCCGACATGACTGTGACGTGGCTGGCGCCGACAGTGCGACGCACATTATCTCGGTCAGTTCATCGGTCATCTATACGGCTGCATTATTCGCCGCGCCTGCCGAGTGGTGGGCCGAGCCCGCGGTCCCCGGCCCAGATGTCCGCCTCTGAGTGGCGGCTCGGCAGCGACCGACACAGAGAGGATGCCTCAAGCAGCGAACAAGTGTCTGCGACACGGCCGCCGGCGGCCAAGAACGCTGTCATCAGCGAGATGGTGTCATTAGGGAGCGTGCCTGGGGTGCCGGCCGACTGCGGGTCGCGCACCGGTGACGCCGCTTTAATCAGCGACGGCCCGCGCACCGCTCGGGCTCGATGACAAAATTCACCCAGCTGCGACTTACATAATGGTAACGAGATATTTTTAGGGTACTGGGTACGACAGATATAACAGAAAAGGAAACTTGCTATGTTTTAAAATTAGTTTCGCTGTGAACTGGGCCTTTCCCCTAACTAGCAACGAACAGTGTGTGATTGTGAAAAAATGAACAGAAGCAGTAGCAAGTTTGAAACGGTGATTCAACGAAACAAATATAGACATTTATTTGCTTGTTACAGGCATGTTTTTTAATCAAGCATCACTCACCGACATACCTTTTCAGCAGTCATGAACAAAACATTCAGGTCATTGCATCAGTATGATATACGCTGAACCACTTGTTTCAGACTCGCTGAATAAATTAGGTCAACGTTCAACGTGCAGTAGAGCCCAGTCAAGTACCTTCGCAATGCATGTATAAGGGCCCATGGCTACACTATGCGTTTTCTGCTTGCGGTTTTTGCGGGTTTGCGTTTTTTGCGTAATACCGTTCTAGAAAAAGTTATTACGGAGCGAGCGAAGCGAGCGGAGTCCGTAGAGTAACGGAACTTTCTGAGTATGAGCGGCCGGCCGGCCGGCCGTGGTCACGATTTTGCGACGCTTATATCTCAGCAACCACTTGACCGATTTACATGCGGTAATTTTTGTAGGGTAGCTTCATTCCTTCTACCAAGTATTGGACTATTCCTGATGCATGTGGGTGTGACTATTCCCTTATGTACGTGCCACATGCAAAACGAAAAGGTGTCAGTTTTGTAATAGTTGCAATATCTCGGTGACTTCTTGGCCGATTGCGCTGAAAGTTGGCATGTAGGTAGGCACCAGGGGGAGGCACTCGCCTTGGCCGTATATGGGCCAGAATGTCTAACGATTTCCGTCATGTTGTGTATACCAAAGTCTTGAAAAGTTGATCACTGCAATCAAACTGCAAACATGAAGCAGCAGCACTTTTGAGTAGTGTACCTCTCACTAAACTGCACCTCTGCTACCGT